AGACAAAGCTTATTGGAAGCAGAAAAAATATACATAACTACTCTCCTTTATAGCTACATATGTATGTAGGTACTAAGTACCAATATGCATCAGAGACGATGTTTTCTTTTTAAACACGATATTTATTTATGGGCTCGTTGCTGCTTTGGGCAGTTTGCCAAATACCTGGTATTCCAAATTTAAGTAATGACATGGGTACATGTTAAAGTATGTTTCGGTTACGAGACTACAAGGAGGATAATCAGTTGCATTGAACGTCTGAGCATGATCGGGAACGTCAGCAAAATTATTCGCCATTTGAAAAGTTCCAAATAATTAAGCATGTACTTAATTGTATTCAAAGTAGGCGAGTGAAGTGATAAAATAAGCACAAGTTACATACTGTTAGGCGCTTAAATTGCTTATAAAAGACATTTTCACATATGATATTGACAGATTCTTTACTCAGTAAAAATTCACTGGTTCAAAGAGGCATTTGCGTGCCATGGTGAGTCATTTCATTAGTTGTGTGTGTAGGATTTTTCAGTTATCTCATAAAGAGTTCGAGTACTATGATGCCAGAGACAAATCAGAGACAGTCAAGTCTATCTTACGACATACGCACACGTGTAAACAGTTATGCGGCACTGATGCTGGATAGGAAGCTTAATACGAAATTGCCTTCAAATCGTTCAAATCAAAATTTCATTGACCTTATCTACCCCGTTCTAGCACTTAACGCCCAATGTTCGTATATGGCTAGGCGCAGTAGTTTTGTCATTAGTGTGAGATTAACAGCCGTTTTCACCAGCAATTTAAATACAAAATGATTTCTTATTTTCTGTCAATTTCCATATAAAATTGAAAATATTAAAATCATTTTTCACTTAAATTGTTTTCGTGATATTGGCTGTTAGGCCGTTAGATATTACACCATGCGACAAAAACCAAAACATTTCGAAACACGCGAAAAAATCAATATGGACACGTAACTAAGGGCAAAAAAAAAGTAATACTGCGTTTTTAGTTTTTCCCTGTGACAACAGGATTTTTTAAAAGGACCTCGAATCTTCAAACTAATGATTTATTCAAAAAATTTTTTAGAAATTCAGGGCAATGTAGAATAACAATATGGGTACCAAATGAAAGAGAAAACTGTGTAGCATTAAAAAAAAATACGAATATGTATTGAGAAGGCCTTTTAACTATTTTCATTTTTTAACATAATAAAGCATGGAGGACAAATCTCGAGGGTGTGGTCATGTATATATTAGTCTTTAAAGTGTATTTTTTTTTTTTGCAAACATAAACATTGCAAATTTTCAAGGAAGTCCAAGGATAAAATTTTAAAAGAATTGAAACTTATTCGTCCTTGTCAATAATCATATTTTTTAAATTTCTAAGTCCTCTAAAAAATCCTTACATCAGAGCGAAAAACTCAAATCGAAATTTACTTATATTTGGCAATTTTCGCAAGTGTATTCACTTTTTGTTGTCTAAAATTTACCGTCGCACGATGTTATTATATCGATGGCAGAAATCTTTTCAAGAACGCCCTACTTCAGAATTTTATTAAAAAATACCCTATCTCAGAATTTGGTTGAATAACGCCCTATCTCAGAATTCGGTTCAAAAACGCCCTATCTCAATCTCTAGATAGAGCGTTGTTGAAAAATTTTTTGAGATAGGGCGTTTTCGAACTGGCTGCCGAGATAAGTCGATCTTCCACTCAGCCATCGATATGATGGCTTATCATATTATAGACTGAGAAATATTTTAGCCATTTTGAAAAGATAGGCATGGATTTTTTTATAAGGTGGATGAAGTGCGGATTTTTGTCCGTTTACTGATTCCATTTGCGGATACTTTGACGATCTGTTTTCCCACTAAAGTGTGCGGCAAAAACGTATGTACAGACAACTACCGAAAATTGTTTGTGAAGCGGATACGTTTCCGGCTGAAATTTGTCTGAATGAATTTTTCGTTCAATAAGCTTTCCTTCTGCACTTCACAGATACTTTTTCAAGGTTCAAACGCAATAAAATAAAATTAGGAAGCGGCACACTCCTCTGCACGGTCAGCCACTACCGACTACGCATGCATGCTTTCAAATGTTTAGCTTGAGCAAATAAAATAAAATTATTGCTTTCAAATGACATCATCTTTTACGAACGTTTCGAACGTTTTCCGGATACGAAAATTGATGATAACTGTCGGAGTTTTTTCTGTGCGTTTTCGGATACGGAAAATTGAACTAAACTGCACTGTCGGCAAAATATACGTTTTTTTGCTGGCTGGGCTGATTTGAACAGTCAAATACGTGCGTAATAAATTGTTGTATGAAAATATTATTTTTAAATACGAACATTTTTAAACGATAATTAAATATAAAGTATTCATTTTTACTATGCATTATTTCCCTCAGTATATATAGTTATGTACATACACATATGGCTCAATCCATGACAAATCGACCAATGCTTGAAATCGACCATTCTTGATTTGGTCAGAATTTTTCTTTAATGAAGTTTTGCCAAGGAGAAAAATTAATTTTATTTCGAAAGTTATGCAATTCCTGCAGATACTGAAATTTTAAAGGTGTTTTTTTTTACCATATTAGTTTTAAAACTTTGAAAACCCATTTCTCTAAATAAAGTTATGTGAAAATTTTTTATTAAATTTAAATTTAGGTTTTAATTTAGTAGTTTGCAATAATTTGTTTTCAAAGTTCAAAAATGCATATTTAAAAAAAAAAACACTTCTTAAAAGTTTTATGATCTTATAGGATATGTAAGAGGTATTGAAAAAAAAATGTTGCATACAATTTATAAAAGTTCTTGGTATGATTTTTTAATTATAAAAATCTGTATTTGTTTTTTATTTTTCCAATTGTTTTATATATTTTTTTTTTGTATATAGCCCCAAGCATCAAACATTCATATTCAAAAAAATATGGGTCCGGGGAAATTGTGAAATTTCGAACTCAGGATTTTTTTTTTTTATTCTCTTTGGCCGAATTTTGTTATATGTTAAAGAAAAGTACTGACCAAAATTCAATCAAACTAAAGACGGTGGATTTGAACCGTTAGACGATTTGACATAGAATGACCCATATTCATACATACATACATATACATATGCAAGTATTTAGTTGAAACCTACATAGTTTCAAATGCATTCTTATTAGATACTTTCTGAAACAATTTTATGAAGTAGAGTGTAAAACCAATTCAATAACTAGACTGTAGTGTAAACACGACTTAATGAAATTCGCATAACAAATATACATTGGGCCATTAATATGGAACTCATTGCACTCACCTTTATTGGTCGCTTTGCACCATTCGCTTTCAAATTTCCTTCTTATCCACTCCACATACATACATATAACCCTGCTTATGGCGCCAACAAGGCTCATATTCCTGTGCAACTGTTCTGTGTTAGTTCGTTTCAGCTCAGCGGGCCGGTTGAACGATAAGTTCTCAGCATTTTAAATGTAGAAAATAAGAAAAAATATATTTAAAAAAAAACTAGTTGTATCAAAAATAAAATAAAATCTGTAACTTACAAATTTTAGTTAAGTCTTTGCAAGCAAAGACGCTTACTAGTATATGTGTGTTTTAAATATAAAAAGAAAATAAAAAAATTAAAATTAAAAAATTAAAAAAATCGGACCTACTAATTAAATTAAGTAAAATTAATTTATAACAAAGTTGTCTACTTAATAAAAATAAAAATTTTTATTGCGAAAAGTAACAGTGATAAAATTATCTAATAACTACAAAAATTAACCTAAAAATAATAATAATATTTTAAAATCGACCAAACGCTTTAGAACTAAACTGCAGTTTATAAGCTAAAAAACTGCGCTCAAGGCCAGAAGAGGGACTACGTTTTACAAATATTAAAAATCAAATAAAAAACTTTGATAAATAGAAGCATTTAAGGTGAGTTTTACTTTTTTATTGTAGTGCTTTGTTTTTACAATAAATTAATTGCCGCTTATGTACATTTATGTTAACAGTTACATGTAGCGAATTAATGCTGCCGCGCAAAGAGAAAATCATACTCGCCATTTGCTTGCTCTTTTTGGATCTGTTTCGTTTGTTAAGCTTTTTCGCTAACGGAATTGAACCTGTGAAATGTAGACAGATTATTGATAGTCACATTTTGGCGGGAATTTATTGTGGATGTTGCTGTTATTGGTTTATTCCATTTTTTTTTTTGGGAAAGTAGTGATGTCTGTGACAATTAAGGCGGCATTAGCGCTATTAAAAAAAAAAATAATATATTTTCGAGAATTGCTTCAAACTGCAAATAACTTCGTATGTGTCTATAAGTATGTATACAAATGTATGTATGTAAACGTATTTTAAATGTCTTGCATGATTTCTATATTTACTTTTTTTGGGCATAAGATTTTTGCTTGGCATAAGATTTAGAAATTTTTTTAATGCAAATTAAAATTAGCAGTCGAAATAAGCCACTTGCGATTAAATATAATTGGAACATCGAGCTTTTATGTACTACAGTATACATATCTATGTACATTAGAATGCCTCACCCAAAAAAGTGTCAGTTTTTCAACCGGAATTATAAAATTTATTATACTTTAAGACTTCCGCCAAAATATCCGGAAAAATATTAAGATTTACGAGAGATACACCAATTTGAGAATATCCCCAAAAATCTCATTATTTTTATTCCACTGATAAAATGTTTAAACATTTTAGACATACCTTTTTAGCTTAAACTCGTAATAGAAGAGTGTTTTTAAATATTTTTTAAAACTAATTTTATTTAGAAAAATTTAGATTTTTGGAGATATTTTCAAAATTTTTCCAAAATATTTTGGTGGAAGTCTTAAAATATAATAAATTTTATAATTCCGATGGAAAAACAGTACCGATACTTTTTACGTATGGAGAATGATGCACCCTAATGTGTTGATGTTTTTTAAATATTCGTAAAATTTTTTGGGTATTTTTCTATAAAAATATTGTTCATGGTTTAATCAAAACCATATAAATCACAGTTTTAAACCTTATAAAAAATTTAAGAAAATTCAACAAATTTTCATCTAAATATCAACTTTTTAATGTGAATCTTTGGAGTGATTTTTGAGTTTTTTTTTTTTGGTGACGGATTTTCTAAAGATTGAGATTAAAAAGTTAAAATTTTGATGAAAAATACACTTTAAAAACGCATGAGATCTGATAATTTTTCTTCCTATGTACATCTGTATACAACTTTAGGTTTTCTTAGTGCCTTTGCAACGGTGTATCATTTATATAAATCGTTAATAAAGTTTTCTTTTTATTTTCAGAAATAAGAGATTTACAAAATGAGTGACAAATTTTATGGGTAAGTTGGTGAAAAAACAGAAATAACATTTTTGGAAAATTTAATTTAATTATTTTTCCTGGCTAAACAGCGGTGTTTGGCTGATATTGGAAGCTTAACTCATTTCCTAATCTAACCTCAATTTGAGCTTAGACCTTAGCTTTGTTTTTCACTTACACAAAATTCAAAAAAAGATTACCAATTTTTACAGGATCAGATATTTTTCAAGCCCCTATACAATTAAATTCGTATTAAAATATTTTATGTCATTGATTATTTTTGATGTTTAGATTAAAAAAAAAGAGTGCATCGCTACTGCGAGTAAATTCCCTGCTTCGTCAGGTGTAAGTTCAGCCTCTAATGTTCTGTAAGAATCCTCGTAATACTACGTCATTTATTCTTGAATAAGCTCATGCATTCCTTAAAGCGTTTTAAGTTACATACATATATCTTTCTATAAGCGCTTTGGAAAGGCCCACACCTGGTGGATAGTCCATAGCGATTTCTGAGAGCTTCTTTCTCTCGAGTGCCTCTTTTTATAAGCCACATAAGGGCTCCAGGGCGATAAAGGGAGTTGGATGCTACTTTCCGTGGAAGTTTATCGACAATCTCATTTCCTTCAATACAAATGGCATTCGGAACCCAGAGGGTCCAAACTTGATTGGTCAGACCAACAGTGGACAGCGTATGAAGGCACCCAATAAGATCTGAAGATAGCTACTTGGCTATCAGTCAATATCTCAATATTCTCATTCTGGTAGTTTCGCTTGAGATTGAAGTTCGCGCATCTTTCTATAGCGAATGTTTTCGCCTGCAAAATGGAAATATGTTTTCACTTAGGTTCCGAGTATCTCAACTTCGGTCCAAATATACATTTCTACCTATTCCAGTACCTTCTTCAGCCATCATACCTTATTGTAAAATTTAACTACGGATGCATGGTATCTCTCGCTTCGGTAGAATATCGTTCTTACCACGATTCTGAAATCCTTCTTCCCTGGTACCAGTCATCCTTAGGAGAGCCCTCTTCGCTTGAGACTGGATATGAATTTGAAGAGGTGTAAGGCATCGAAAAACTTCCAAGGATGCTGTTTTACTTGATCGCTCCAAGCTGTGTAGTCCTATCAACCTAAAAGATGGCTGCGTATAGATCCACCTTAATATTTTTGGGGAGCAGCCCCATTTTTTTTTTCTTTGCCAATATTTCTTTGCAGTTTGCTCCACGTGTGTTTTTCAGAGTCATTTTTGGTCTAGTATGATACGTACTCACAAATTTAACCTCCTTCAGGCACATGTTTCTGACATCTATCAGAATCGACTTCAGACCGCCAGGCCTATATTCCCCTGGAAACTAATTTACATTTTAATCGTTCACAACTTGCTCTATGATTAGTTTAACGGGCACTGGATTCTGCCTAAAGTTATTTGATAATAATTAAAAAATTCGACACCAGACCTGAAGCAATGGACGGGTGTGTTCTGATGCTTGGTCCGGAAGGGTCTTTCGGCACCCAAATTCCTCTCACAGAGAAGAGTCAAGAATGTTCCCACAAAAGCACCAAACGGGAACAAAAGTATTGACAGCAGTTTGAACGGAAACAAAATTAGAACAAAATGTTCGGTAACGTTTCCGCAAAGAACAAAATGCGAATAAAACTCTAAGGAACGTTTTCAAGAAGAACAGAATGAGAAATAAACTTTCGGGACGTTTCCAATGGGAAAAAATGAGAAAGAAAATATCGAGAACGTTTTCAAAGAAGATTAAACAAGAACAAAAGTCTGGGGAACGTACTGCTAGAGAACAAAAGTTTTGAGAACTTAAAGTTAAAAATGAGAGGGGCGAATTCGTGTTAGGATGAAAAAACGTTTCAGTGAGAACCACGATTGTTGATTCCAAGCCAGAGGAAGGCTGAACCATTTGAACATCCAGATCATTTATCATTACAATGAAATGTTCATTTATGGAACAATTTTTTAATTTTCAGTGCAAGAAAAGTTCGTGTCTTAAGTCCATTGTTGATTTAATTTGCATATTTACCTTTCACTTCTTTTTTAATTATTCAACCAATGAACGCTATGTGAAAAATTTTGTTCTCGCTTCCATTTTTCGCGAGTAGTACAGAAAAGATTTGTACACAAAGTTCCTTAGACTTTAGTTCCAAAATTGTTCTTCGAGACAAAGTTCCTTAGACCCTTTTCCGATTTAGTTCTGTGCCAAAAAGTTCCGGAGATTTTTGTTCCCATTTCGTACTCTTAGAAATGTTCCCAAAGTTATTGCTCCCATTTTGTTCTTTTTGGGAACGTTTCGCAGGGTTTTGTTCTTATATAATTCCCATTGAGATTTTTGTTTTGATTTCGATTTTGGTTTGCAGCGTTCTTGGGAACAAAACTACATTTAGTTTAGATAATACATTTAGATCAATCCTGGTTGAAAGGGCATTTACTACTGTATTGGTTCGTTCAGAGAGAGGTCCATAAGTCTTCCCACGTATTTTATGCGTCTCTCCAACAAATAAATCGAACTGACCCCTCTTCACAGAAGAATGATTAGATTACAACAGATTGTAAAATTTACAAGTCCCCTTCTCTTCACTTTAGTATCTTCCCAACCGACGATGCGGCTTACTCCAACTACGCTGCTGTACTTCATCAACAGCAACAGCCAACGCAACCCCAACAGCCTGATCTAAACTCATGCACTGCCGAAGTATGCAATTATTACAACTCGACGCCTGCCAATACTAATAGCAACGTTGCCGCCGCCACAGCTGCTGGTAACACAAATGGTTTCAATGCTTCCGTTGCCGCCACGCACAGTCGTCTGATTGGACCAGCATTGCGCTACTACGGCAGTGGGGGTAATCAAGCGTGTAACGGGCAGCAGCAGCAGCAACAGTTGATCTACAGCGGCGGACTTATGTCCCAACATACTGCTCTAGCTGATAATGCTGCATACACTATTCCGCCTAGCGCTCTAATAGCCGCTGGTCCAAGCTGTAGCGGGGCCGCAGCCACGATATCATACACTTATAATCGCAATCGCTATATGCCTTATAGCCGCACCACCAACGCTACGGCAACTGCAACATATCCACTTAGTAGCACGCTTGCATTGCAAACAGCTATGCCGAGAGGTGGCAGCAGCAGCCTACCAGTCACCACCGCTATGAATGCCAACGCACAACAGAATTACTCTACATACCAGCAATTTGCGAATATTTATCAGAATTATCCGAATTTATTTGGTGGCCCACCGCTTATGGGTGGTAGTTCAGCGGCAGCGGCAGCGGCAGCTATTGCTTCAGCTGACAGCGGCAGCATCAAGAATTCTAATACTATGACAGAGATGAATAGGCGCGCAGCAGTGTCGAATGTCAATGGTGAGACGGTGGCATGTAGCGCGGGCACGCGTCGTGTTGTCAGCGGTGCCGCGGCGATCGCTGTTGCTGCAGATGCCAATACCACTGCGATTACGGATGCTAATAATAATGGTGTAGTTGCTGTGGTAAATGGCGAAAACGGCTGTCAGGTGTGCAGTAGCAGCAGCAATCAGTCGGTGACACTACAAATTACCAATCTGGATTATACTATGGAGGAAGCGAGTTTGCGTAACTTCCTAATGGGACAGTTGAAACCAATAACTCCGGTGCTTTCCTTGACCTTCGAAGGGAATTCTTATGCCAAAGTCACTGTACCCGATATGTTTGTGAGTACTTACGCTGCCATAATCGGATAGGAAAAAATACTAAATCGGATCTACTTTCAGTTCGCAAAGCAGGTGGTCTCGAATTTGCATCGCAAGAAAATCGGTCACAAACGCATGTTGGTCTCGTATACGCGCGACTCTTCACTCACGGAAATCAATACGTTGCGTTGTCAAGTAGCTGGACTGCTTAAGGTGAGTTTAATTATTTCCATTCCAGGGTCGATCCATGTACCCAATGGTTGGAATCCACCTTTTTGATTTGGAATAATTTTGGTCAGAACTTATATTTATCTTATAACAAAGTTATGCCAAAGGAAAAAATTTGAAATTTTTTTCGAAAGTTAGGCAAAATTCTAAGTTTTACAATTTCCATGTTTCAAATTTCGATGTTAGATCGAAAGGTGTTTTTAAAGATGATATTTGAAAGTATATAAAATATATACTAAAAAGATCAAAAAAATTTAAAAATTTTGGAGTTTTAGGAAATTGCAAAAGCAAAAAAAAAATTTACACAATTTTTATACAATACCTCTTTTACTCTGGCCATAAAGAAGAATATATATAAAAATACGGGGAAAAAATTTTAAAATTTCATAAAAGCCGAAATTTATAAAACTCTAAATAAAGTTATGTCAAATAATTTTTATTTGATTCAAAATAATTATTTTTTCCAAGGTTCAAAGCGTTGTATGTTTAAAAAACACCTTGATTTTTAAAAAAATATATAAAAAAAAACTTCGAACTTTAAAAAATCGTAAAAGCATAATCAAGCAAAAAAATTTTGCAAAATTTTTTTTATATAATATCTGCCTCTAACTGATTTTAAAATATCCTGAAATTTTCAAGATCTATTTTTTAAGATATGAATTTTTGAACTTTCAAAAAAATATATATTTTGTGCCAAACTTTAAATAAAGTTAAAATCACAAATTTTTATTTGATTAACATTTATTTTTAATTTAGTTTTTTTAAATAAAAATCTTGAAAATTGCAGGATCTTCTAAGACCAGTGAGAGCTATTGTATAAAAAAAAAGTGAGCCAAAAATTTATACATATAAGTTTTTTCCTTTACGATTTTGGAAAAATTTTTAAATTTTTTTTAGATTTGAGGGATTCACAACGGCGTCGTTAGTCTCGTATTGTTGTATGTCGCAAACTTTAAAAGCTTAAATAAATGTTTAGAGAACTTGAAACCACAACCAACAATTTTTTAACACTGAAAAAATACATAATATGACTTTGATGGTATTTTTCGTACCCCTTAATATATTTTTTAGGCGCTAAAGTTTACGACATAACACAATACGACACTTACGACACTGATGTGAATACCCCAATTGTTTTTTATATCGTTCCAAATATTACCTTCAAAATTTCAGGACCTTTTAAGATCAGTAAGAGGTATGGAAAAAATTGAGCCAAAGACTTTTATCCGATTTTTTAATATCGAAATTCTGCAACTCTTTCTTTTTAATCATAAATACCACTTTTAAAACGAGACGATACTAATAGTTTTTAAGACATTCAAAAAATAAACTAAAAATAACCGGGAAATTATGAAATTTTAAACTTTCCAAAAAAAAAAATGTTATTTTTTCCTTTGGCAGAACTTCGTTATTGATATTTAAAAGAAAACTTCTGACCAAAACTCATTCAATTCAAGAATGGTCGTTTCCAACTATTGGTCGATTTGACATAGATTGTCCCACCTGGTAATCTTAACGCCGGCTTTACCGAGAAGGTATACAAAATTACGAAGCTCTTGTGCCAGACTGTTGAAAAATCGACGATTATGTAGGTTCAATATATTAAAAGGCCAAGGACTACTCCACTTCAGACTAAAAAAACTTCTAGCCATCCCAATGACCAACGGCTTTGAAAACCTTACCCATTGCTATCTCCCGAGAGATATGTATGTGCAAGTACTCAGGCCGTCTTCCTCAATAATTTTTAAATCTTTCTTACTCTCATTCGTCATTTCATGCCCATAGGATGTACCATATTACACATTGCCAATGTATAAGTTCCGCGAGCTCTTCCAGGCGCGTTTTAAGACTTCAATAAGCGTATTAGATCTCTACAAAATGCCCGATATTTGTACGATAAGCGTCGATGAGAGCGAAGAGAAATTCATCAGCCTACAATCGGGCGTCATAAGTTCGTTGGAGAACTCACCGTTAATGGAGGGCCTGCAGCATAGTGTACCCTATTGTACTGCGCATTTCAAGCGTGAGCAACATAAGGGCTGGGCTGAGCAGGACATTGAACCGTTACCGAACGTTTGGATGACCATAACGGAAATACAAAAAATTATCTATCCACTGTTGAAGAATCACCCTGGCGATGTACCGGTCGCCACGTTGGTGCACTGCATTTCCGCTCAAATGAATACCGAAATAACAGCAAATGAAAATGGTGTCAACTTAGAGCACTTGGTATGCTGTGTGCAGGGCATACAGATACAGGTCAACAATTTTGGCATTAAAATTTTAGGCTGGTTGAAGTTGGATAAGGAAAATTACGCGAATTATAATGGTTCGCTTAACGCTGGTGTTGGCGCCAGCAGCGCTAGTTCAGCAACACTGGAGCGTAGTTTGTATGCCAAGTCTGCGTGCTCCATTAGTGATCCACTGTATCAGATTTCGCGTGAGGTCATAGAGCTGGTGAAGATGTCACCAAAGTCTACCATGAAGTTCAATCGCTTCATACCAGCCTATCACAATCATTTCGGCAAGCAATGCCGCGTAGCCGATTATGGGTACACCAAGTTAATCGAACTATTCGAAGCGCTCGCCACCGTCGTGCAGATCATCGGCGATGGCGAGAATCGGCTAATCACCTTAACACATCGCACTCAACTGCGACGCTTCACCTCCGACTTGCTACGCATACTACGCGCTAACGGCAACAAATCGGTGCTATTGTCGCAATTGCCAACAATCTTCGCGCTCACGCAGAATCGCAGCTTCGATGTGACCGACTATGGCGTATGCGACATACGCGACATCTTGGACGGTTTGGCTAATTCGAATGTTGTCGTAATGTCGCGTGTACAAAACGGCGATGATATGCTTATTTCGATGCCGAAGCGCAAGCAAACCAGCGCTGAGCTGGAGAAGACCATTCTCTTTGCTGGCGAAATGGTGGAGCTATTCCGTAATGCGCCACAATATACCATACTATTTCAGAAATTCGTACGCTCATATCACTATCACTTCGCCTATCAGTGCCGGTTGAGCGATTATGGTTTTCTGAAGTTAGCCGACCTGATGGAGGCCATACAGGGCGTGGTGGAAATGGAACATACCAGCGATGAGGATAAGAAGATCTATTTATCACCGAAAGTCGCACGTCGCGTCTTCGCCGAACAATGTGAGGAGCTGGTGCACGAGTTGACTGGTTCGGCGCAAACTTGCATGCAGTTGGATGAGATGCTGAAGTTGCATAAAAAGAAATTTGGCTATCAAATACTACCGCAAACGTTGGGCGTGCGCAGCATCTCCGAAGGCATCGAACTGATGCCCCACATTGAGGTGAGGGAAGCACACACAACAACCCAGGTGAGTGAGAATATTTGTTTAACTTTTTCTTTATTTACAGTTAATTGAAAAAGAGAAAGTGCTATGGATTATTTGCCATCGTGATGATAACAAATTCCGTAATCAATGCTACCGCGCCTGTAAGCTTGTCTTGGCGCACGAAGTTAATTTACTCAATACGAGTAACGGCAATGATTCCAACGACGGCGAGGCAAAGGAAAATAATTGCAAAAGCTACACTTTGAGCGCTTTGATTGAAGACTTCAATAAAAAATATGAGGAACACATCAATGAGAGTGAGGTTAAGGCCATGAAACAGAAAATTGAGGTAAGTGGCAACTGCCAGTTGGCTTTCTTTAGAGCGATTTAGAAAGAATTTACCTAGTATTTTTCTTGTAGATCTTCAAAGAGCAGGAAGTGTCTTATGTGCGTAGCACATCATTTCTGAAGTTTTTACTGAGCATTATTCGTTTACTGGAGAAGAGAACTACAGTTTTGTTGACTGAAATCAAGAACGCTTTAGAATGTGGCATTACAACTACCTTCGAATTCGGTAGGTGGAAATTTACAACGGCGTGTGGGTGAAAAAAATGTCTTCCTTGAAAAAACTAATTGCAACATGACGAAGAGTACTCAAAAATTTAGACTCGATATGGCTTGCAAAAAAGCCCTACTGGTGATTATTTTCCAACCCTGTTGGATTACTCAGCAAATTAAGCCCAAGAAAATACGAAAGCATGTCTGATGAGGATCAGTTTTGGCCGCAAAAGCGGCTTGAGATGTTGTTGCTTAGCTTTAGAAACTCCCAGGCCGATTTCCCTATTTTACACAACAGGCTATCCAGGGCTTGTAAATTCTGACATATAGATAGATTGTGATCTGGATTAAAATATTGAACATTCTTTGAAAAGGACGTCATTTTAAATATATTGAAAATTTTTTGAATTTTTTGAAATTTGACTTGTTTAAAAAGTTAAGTTCTATGTACTTTAAATTTTGAGTTTATCGAAATTTTACAATGCGGATGATAAATGAGCGATATTAAAAAAACTATACTACGAAAACATTTTTAAATGGTTGCCACCTATTTAAAAAGTCAAATTTAATTTTTTTTATTAAGTTGAATGAAATATAACAACAAGGGTGTAAACGAATGAGGTTAAAGAAAGCTTTATTTTGAAAATGTTTTGAATAGGGTTGCCAACTGTTTAAAAGCTCAATCCCATTTTTTCCTATATTAAATAAAGTATAATATATATGAGTATCAATCGATAGAGGTATAAGAAAGCTTTGTTTCCAAAAAAATGTTAAATAGGATTGCCACCTGGTAAAAAGTCAAATTACGTAAAAGTCCGCAAGTAAAGTTAAACAAAAAAAAAAACAATGATGGCAAGTAAAACAAAAGATGCATAAGAAGGCTTTATTCCGATAATTTTGAAAGTCGTAGGCACCTATTTAAATGTCTGATTAAATTTAATCAGTTACCTAAATGATGCATTACAATATGGATGTCAGAAGAAACAGGTTAATAAAAGAATTTTATTTTTAGAACTAGCTACGCATTCATATAAAATGAGAAAGAAACAAGAATTATGACACAGGTTCTGCAATTGACTTCCGAGTGAATTTCAACTAAATTCAATTTGAATTCAAATCGACATTGCTTGAAATTTAATCAGAAGTGAATTGCAGAACTTCCCTTTATAATTTTTTAATTAAAAGTCCACAAAAATGTGGATACTTCAGGTAAGCGTAGGAAGTGAAGTAATATCTTCTGTAAGCGATCCTTCACGAATAAATCACGGTTGATGGTCTCGATGTCACGAATGAATTGCTTCTCGTGCCACAATACAAACGGCTTTGTAAATCAGTCACTGGCCTTTATTTTTTAAGGCCTGTATGTAGCTCTCAAGAAAAGCAAAAACTCCATATAAAATGACGTACAGGAAATGGCTAAGAAATCTTCTTGAGTCAAATTTCCTTAAGGGCATAAAAATTTCTTAAGGAATTTGCAACGCTTTCTACTACGGTTTTCTAAAGTTTTTGTAAATAAAGAGCACAAGGAAACCCAGGCTTGCAACAGAAATATATGCCCGTTCCATTATTTCTTGAGGAAAGAGTGAGGCAACAGGCTGTGAAGTATCAAAAATGTCAAAATTCCTTGGACACACACACACACGAAATAATGGCAAATTTTTTTTGACCGTTTTCTTGAGAGCTGCATACAGGGAATTCAATCTACTTATAAAAATCATTTGTATAAGTCGTAGTAATCTTTTATTTCCCAACACCTTCTAAACTGCGAAAAATGTTAATGACTTTCGTACGAATGATTTAAAAAATAAAAGTCGGTTACTGATTTATATTGATAACTTTTAAAAGTAAAATTAACTGACTGATTTTTATTGATGAATTTTATAAATAAAAGTCTTCAGTAACTGTAAGACATATAATATAAAAATCAAAAATAATTGTTATTTTTTTAATTTTGCATAAAAATTGCAAATAATTTTTTTTTTTAAATTTGAGTCTCGGTGAAAAAAGAAATCGATTAGTATGTATCACTTAGTTGTAGAACATTTTCTTCATGGTGAATTTTTCCATGAGAGTTTTCATCAATAACTGTTGTTAGGTCCCTGCCTAAAATTACGTGTAGGATTTCTCCTGTCTGAGTTTCGCCGCCTGTTTCCAACTCCTTTCTCTCCCAAACAGACTTTCGCCATCACTGTGCAGTCGTTGAGGCGAGTAGAATTTCCTAAGTTCCAATCTTCAGGTATCCATCCGAGATCTTTGTAGGACTTCACTGGTCTAATTGAATCATAGCCCGTATACCACAACTACTATTTTGTTCGAGTCCAGCTCTTGGGGCTATAATTTGTTGAACATAAACCATCAGAGACAAAGAAATGCCACTTTCCGCATCCTAGCCTTTTGCTTTGAATATAATTCTTCTTTATGAAAACTACTTCACAAGTCATGGATTTAGAGAAACATTTCGAAGCATCCGTCAAGATTTATAGCTTTGATCATTTTCCTCAAATTTATTTTTGGGACATCCGCGGAACCTAAAACCAGTTTTTAAACCTACAAAAAATATCTAAATATTTTAAAATTTTATAAAGAGCTTAGCTTTACAGTTAAAAACTTCAATGTTCTTACAGGTTTCCCAAATCTGTTCTCTGTTGTATCAGCCTACACCGATATCTTTGTGGTGAACGCGGGTCTTACCCAAGAACGCAGTGAAATTTCTTTGCAGCCTAATTGCGAACGTGAGTAACAGTGTAAATTTACTTAAATGATGAATATAACCACTAATTTTTATTTATTTTTTTTTTGTTTACCTCCAAGTCCACATGAGCTCACTCATAAATCGCTCTGGTCTGCTCAACTCAGCAAAGCTACCGGCAGGCAAACAAAAAGCATCACGTCCACTTCGACAGCCGCTTAGCGAGAACAATCATAGTCGCAGCTACAGTCAGCAGGGTCCACCGGCAAAAACGCGCGCACTTTCAAAGCCCAACGAGAACAGTGGCTATCAGCCGGTACAAACTTATAAAAGTAAGATTCCTGTCGCTACATTACAACTACCGACGAAAACGCAACGCGTCGCCGTACCAAAGCAGAAACCACAACCAGCAGCACAGGTGGTACAACCACAGCCGCCGCAACCGCAACAGCTATCACAACAACAACAGCAGCAGCAAGTTATGCAAGCTCACCAACAACAAATGCAAAAACTCACCTATGACTCTAACCACTTTGTACCATTAACCGTCCACATGAGCTTTAACGGTAATAACTCAATCTATTCGGTCGCCTCACATAACTCCAGCCTAAATATATCTGCCTCAAGCTCCACCCACAATCATGATAATTCTTTCAACTCTTCCTTTGGTGCCCTTAACAATTCGCTGAATACTTCATCGAATTTGTCTTTGTCGGAGTTGAACTCAAATCGATCACAATTGCAACAGCACGTAGAGCTGTCACAGGTGCCAGCTTCAACTATGCCCCCCAACATGAGCATGGCTACAGCAGCCAATATCCATATGAGCAACAGAACGAAGCTATGGGATCGTCGTTATACGGCTGCTATGGCTGCTGCCGCGGCAAACGCTTCCATGGCTTACCAGCAACAGCAACACCAGGCAACGTTGGCTGAGAATGTTGCAGGATTGCCATCGTTAATTATGTCGACGTCGGAAAGTTTCGCCATGGATGCACACCGGCAGCATCAAGTACAACAACATCAGCTGCAACAACAACAACAACGGCAGCATTTGCAGCAACAGCAACAGCTTCATCATCAGCATCAAGTATTCCAGTCGGCAATGGAACAATCGATGGCGCTTGCGCAGGCCAAAATTAAACAAGAGCCTACTTCTTATGTCGCCGAGCCCATGACCAATATCCACATGTACCCGATGTTTGAACCACCAAAGCCGGATACACCGCCGTCGAATGTGAGTCTAAATTGAAAAAAAAAAATAAATAAAAATAGTGCATGTAGTTTAGAAAATGTTGAGCTAATCGACCAGTAATTGACCGAATCTTTAATCGTCTTAGACCTGTAAACGCAACTATTATATAATATATCCCTCTTTCGTGCTCAATTCATTTTATTCCCAATGAATCGAGGTGCTATTATCCCAGCGCATTTTTAAAGTGATAGCTCTCTTTAAAACTTCACAATGGCAGACTCATCCCTTTTCACAAAAACCGATTGGACATCTTGCTGGTATCATTGGATTTTTTTTAGCTTAGGTTTTCATGTCTTAATCTGCCTAAACTTTAGCATGATTTTGTTGTCTAGACTAAGGTTAACCTCATCTGTAAAATATTTAATTTAGTATATATAGATATATTGTGCCCTTTAGTCTTCTCTAAAAGTGCTTAAGCTGTGGCCACTTCGAGCCTAGACTGCCTTACCCTCGGTGAGAACGTGTAGTGGTGTCTCGCTAGTCATCAAAGATCATTTGACCATAACTCCAGCGTATGTAGATGTCGTCTTAGTCGGCAGTGTCACCTGTTTTTGGTGTCGGTGCTTCCTCACCCGACGTGGTGCGCATTCGTAGCGGAGCCGAGGATCAAGGGAAGTCGAGCTCTCCTGCAGTGCGCAACCAGATCTTGTACCTCTACTGGGGGAATGTTCTTTTGATTCCCCAGCAAATATGTAGTAGCAACGGCGATGTCCATGGGCTTTCTATCCACCCAAAGCGTTGCTTGCACTACCACTAGATCTTGACTTATAAAATCCTTTTGTGTGCTCCCTTGAGGCTCTTTACCTGGCCTCTATAGATCCACGGCTCTTGAATCCGTACCAATCCCAGGTGTTGCATAGTAAACCTGCTCGCAATTACAGCCGAGGTTGCAATCGCGTGGTTCAGGTTGACTTGGGCTACTCTCAAGGGCCCACCTCATTTCTGCTCGTCTAGGTCCGAGAGCCTTAGGATACCGTCAACCTTAGGTCGCTCTCACTTCTCCGGTCCAGCTCGAGCCTTTTCAGGTCTACACCATCAAGCAGCTCATGCGACAAGGGAACCTGCCCCTGTGTAAGAGCCGCTAAATCTTGCTCAATGGGACTCGTGGGTTTGAAGGTTGGGCTGGAAGTGTAGGCGTCTAGCCTATGCGGACTTGGCTGCTGTATCTACTGGAGCAGGGATATTTTCATCCATCTACATTTCAGCTCCCCAGTTTTGTTGCTATTTAGCCATGCCCTCAACTTTACAATATACAAGGAGCATCACTGGACTGAAATACACTCCGCAGAAATCAAGCGGTTGCGTCCTTTAAACACCTCGTCCATTATGGCGTCAGCTCATCCGGATTCAGCCCCTCCGCAAGATAGTTTCTAGGCAACTCAGGAAGCACTACAACCAAGCAACCAAAAAACCTTTTCCCGCGCCATTCTAACTGACTATGAAGAATGGGATCCTTTATTCTTGAAACTAATACAAAGCTTTGCAGAAAACATCACTCAAGACTCCATACTGTCCATTACACTTCTTTCTAAGCTGTTTTAAATCTACATAAATAATCTGCGAATGTAACCCTTAATACAACCTATCGGATCGAGGTGGCGCGTGGGAGGCACCTCACTCTCAATGCTGGAGCGATGAGGATGGTAGAAGACAATGATATCCAATCTTCAGAACTAATGTTCCAATGAGGCAATTCCAGTAAGCCATCCCTTACCGCACAGAGTACTACTCTGAAGTTTGGCGCGGGCTTCCATCCGTTGCTGTCATTATGCATGCTGACGGGTCGCTAATGGACTCTGGCTCTAGACAATAAAAAAGTTGGTAAACTGGCTAGAGCTATTTGTATGGAGAAATTCATTGGCCCACAATTGGCTGTGAGGTGCTGCTCAGACGCGCAGCAGGCTTAAGTTAATCGCGGAAGCACTTTGACTAGTAGCATATTCCAAAATGTTTCTTGATGCCCTGCATAGCGGTAGGACTATGCTTCTGCTAACGTTGTATGAACTTGATTGAGAACTATGGTGCAATCACCGGATTAATTTCCTTAAACTAGTGAGGTACTTAGAAGGCTCATATTAATGAATTCCAATACATATTCATAGTCATGTTTGTTACGGAATAGTCCACAAGACTCCCTCTGATTGAGCTTCAGAGATTCTGGTAACCTTATAAGAGTAGATTGGCTTGCTTGAAAGGGAGGGAGGCACTTTTCCGTGGTAAAAAGGGCAAGCGTAAACATGCCTTCGATTATAAGTCGCTCCTAACCACTAGAAAAAAAGCAAAAACCAAATTGTGGAAAATTATTCGGTTTATTTTTTTTTTTTTATACAACCACTGGAGTCAAACTATTCCCTCTTTTTATCTGGAACTAAAACGCAAATCAGAAAAGCAGGCGCCTTTGAAAAAATATACGTATGTATACGCCGCATTTATAATAAAACGAGTATATTTACCAAGCGAAAGGAAGCCTAAGGAATCTTGAGGCCTTGCAGTTCTTCGAACCACGTTTCAAAATAAAAAAAAACACATACCACCATTCCGGGATACAAAAAAATCTACAGTAATGGTTCTCACTCGATCCCTGCGTTCTATAAGACTTATGATGCGTGAATGGTGTAAATCAATTAGCTATCGCAGCAGAACTTGCCAGGATGACTACGAAGAAGGAGGATTGAATAGTCACTTTATTTAGCGATGCTCAAGTCTGCAGTGAAAGCGACTAAAACTATGTTAAATGAGACTTTTCAGCTAGCCTGGCAAAGACCAAAAGGTGACCTTCCGGATCTCTCAATTTCATTTGGGATAGCAAGTGTAGGAATAAAGGGTGATTTAATAAGACCGCAAATTTTCTTTTATAAATAAACACAACAAAATTTGTCGAATGATTTTTTTTTCGTCACTTGATTTTTGTTCAAGCAACCAATTGGTAAACTGCAAATGGCCTCTTGTCTTCAGTTTCTGTGTCAATTGAATTTTGTAGGTGTGTAAACATGCATAGGTCTTTTATTAATTTCCGGTAAACGGTGCTGGAGGAGAGTTCGATTGCTGTGCACGAGGACTAATTAGGGTTGTCACGGCCTGGCTCACACTTTGTTCCACAGCAAAAATACTTTCGGCCGAACGCCCTGCACGAAAGCGCACGTTCATTGTCACGTTAGGCATCGACCCAGTTTCTTTGAATTTCTGCACCGAAATACACTTTTCATAAAACGTTTGGATCACTTTTATGCATTGTTCAACTGAGTATCGCTCTATGACTAAGTTTGCCAAAGCCTGTAGTGCCAATTGTCTTAAAAAAAAAAACAACAACAAAGATCTGCATCACCCTTGAATCATTCTATATTCAAATATCCTAGTACATATGTACATTCCATTGTTGGGTTAGAAGATGATGTATTTTGGAACGAATTTTCATTATTTTCTGTAAAATTTGGCATGGAGTGATAATAGTTTCAATATTGTGCCATCTTCAATATCATCTTTCAAAAAATGGCTTTGGTCAGCGCTGTTTAGTTTTAGTTATATCCTTGAGCTTTTTAATAAAATCCAAAATCCAAAACACTTTCGATACAGTTTCTGAACCGATGTTGTATTTTTCAGGATATGCCATTTTGGATAGATCCCATTTGGTCACATAACACCGCCGACCACGAAGCGGGACAAAATGCCTTGGTAAGTAACCAAAATTGACACACTAGTAATTACTTGCCAGATTGTGATCGACGAAATTTTTTGTAAATATTATAAACTTACACTTGAATTTGAATCGATTGCAATTAGGTTGGTAGATACTGTAATTCCTGGAAATTTTAAATTTTTAACAGTTAAAGTTTTCTCTAATTTTACAACCTTTTTTATCTTTTTTCTCACTACATTTAGCTCAACATCAAATTACCTGAACTAAAAAATTTCAATGTATTACCAATGGTATTGTCACCCTATACACTCTCTAAAGCCGAAAATATGAAGCAAAAAGTATTTAATTTTGATAATCACGATCGAAAGATAGCCTAAGTAATATTTGTAAGCAAAAGCTCACTCAATTGTTTTTGATTTAGTGAAGAAAAGTGATCTCAAGGTTTGTGCGTCGCTAAGCGTGTCTCCAAAATTCGAATATGTAGCCTTTAAGCCTTTTTAGTTAATGCGCTTTTAAATTGTTTATAAGAAAATTGTAATGTTACCGCGACATTGAATTGAACTGTTCGTATGTGTAGCAAATAATGAAGCGATCAGATTAAAAAATAATATCTAATATTGTTATTGTAATAGAAAAAATAAATAATAAAAAAATACCTCGAAAATGTTTGGTAGGGAACTAAAGATAAACAAACGAAATATTTTAACCATGCTCAATTCATTGTAACAAATGTCTGCTTTTAAATTAGGCAAAAATATTTAAATTTCATTTTTAAATATTATATCTTTTTGTAGTAATGCTTAAAAAAAAAGAAAAAATGTGTCCAAAAATTTAGTGTATAAGCATTTAAGTTAAATAAATAAAACCGAATGATTGTAGTTAGAAAACAAAAAATATAAAAAAAAGATGTGCAGTCAAATTCAAGCAATCAGAGGATGTGTGATGCTTGAAAAAGCTCTGCACTCAGTCAAGACGCTGCAAAAAATGTATGCTTTGTCGTAACTGAATCTACATAGTGCAGCGATGGGCAGGGAGAGCTTTTGCTCTGTACGCGCCTATACAAAATGTATAGAAAGCTTGAAAGAGCTTTGCCCGCGGGCAAGGCGGTGCTTATCAAAAAAGATAAGAGAGGAGAGAGAGAGCGAGGGAGAGCCAACAATACTGTAAAAGAGAGGGCTTAGTATCCGTCACGAAGCTTTTTAAAACTTTCTGCAGATTTTACAAGTATGGTTACATCAGAACATATCCCACCGGGAAGGCTTTTCAAAGCTTTCTTTAAATTTTTTGGTATGTTAAAAGCTTCCTCTGGTCGTCGCAGGTACGGCGCCAGTCGTGGCCAAAACACAACCCATGCAAGAAGCTGTTACGTATATGAGCACTCATAGAGAAAAGGCTCTATCTGGTCGTTTCTGGTTTAGACAGCGCATTGCCCGAGTGCCGAGCTTGTTTAAGCTTTCTCCGGATTTTGTATGGATAAAAGCTTTTTCTGCCCATTACTGGTATAGAGCGGTGATGGGCAGCACCATGCCCGCGAGCGGTGCTTCTTTAAGGTTGAGATTGGTATAGACCGGTGATGGGCATTAGGTTGCCTGCGGGCAAAGCTCTTTCAAGCTTTCTATACTAAATGCCGGTATAGACAGATCCTTTTCTTTTCTAACTTCTTTTCTTCTGTTATTAAGACTTTAAAATAAGTGCAACAAATACTTACCTAAAAATCCGGCGCCACTAATTTAAAGAAAGCATTTGCTAATTCAATGCCGAAGAAACAAGCAGCATTTGCTGGAAAAGCGCGTATCATAACCGGTGAAATGCCGCGATAGAGCGCCATTGGACCATCGGTGCGGATTAATTCTATAAAAACACTACGTACGCCATGCTTGTACTTATCGGAAAGGGCTAGTAGTAAGAGAAAAAATATAGTAGAAAACTATTAGTATAAGAGTAATGAGTAAAGAACTTACAATAGCAGCTATTGCTGTGACTCAATTGAAAGCATGCAGAGATGTACGGAATCGTAGAAAAGGGTTTTCAAGACATCTCGAGCTTTATAGCAAGTTTTGCTTGAGCCCTAGTTAATTTTAAAGCGCTTCACAATGTTAAATTGAAGTATGGACCCTTGGAACCGTGAATTAACAGAAAGGTTGCTTTACGAATTTATAGCCATCCAAGTTCTATAAGGGAGTCACCTACTACGTCGTACCGATACATCTTTTCATCGAGGGAAAGGTTTCGTAAGTGCCCTGAGTCTGACAGAAGAGGTTTTGGAAAGGCATGGGTGCAATTACCGCTTCTTCGATAATGCAANCTTTTGCTTGAGCCCTAGTTAATTTTAAAGCGCTTCACAATATTAAATTGAAGTATGGACCCTTGGAACCGTGAATTAACAGAAAGGTTGCTTTACGAATTTATAGCCAGCCAAGTTCTATAAGGGAGTCACCTACTACGTCGTACCGATACATCTTTTCATCGAGGGAAATGTTGCGTAAGTGCCCTGAGTCTGACAGAAGAGGTTTTGGAAAGGCATGGGTGCAATTACCGCTTCTTCGATAATGCAAGTATTCTTGGGAACTAAAAGCATCTTTTTTTTCGGAAAAATCTTCGATACTATACAAGTATATTCCACCGGAAAGATGTTCCGTTTCCAGCATTTAATATCGCCCATGCGCTGTGGTAAATGATGAAAAATATTTTCGCATAATTTTCAAATAGAAAATCTGAGCTACTATCAGACTTAGCGAATGGGCGAATTTTTGTTAAAAGTTTGGGGTCAGAACATTCCAGGAAAATTAACGTCATCTCTTTGTACAGTCAGGAAACAATAAGAGCTCGATCGTATCTCGAAGGCATAGCATTGCCCTGATTTGGGTACCACGGCACCGCAAAAAGCGACTAGAAAGCGAACCTGGGTCATAACGAAAATAATACGCACCTCCTCTGTCGAGAGCGATGATGATTCAGATATTCGAAAACAAAATAAATGGTTGTAATATGGACTGTAATATAGGAACTTTCTTAAAACGAAAATCAAAAGTTATCTACCAAATAGGCCATTGTGAACTCTTACGAAGCGTGTGAAAAAGTTTTGATCTCAGGTCGCACCAGAAAAATAATAGCAGACTAGTTTCGAGCTACCCCGAAATGATCCCGCACTTGGCCTACAACTGTCCGGTTGCTTCCGAAAAAATATCGTGTACTAGCCCTGAAATAGCCGTGAACTATCGCGAAACGGTCCTGAAAAAGCCACGAACCAGTCCCGAAAGGGTCCTGAACTAGTCCCGAAACGAGTCACAAACTAGTCTCAAACGAGAATTACACCTGACACTGAAATGGTCCTATAATAGTGCTGAGCAGGTCCCGAAGTGGTCCCCATATAGTCCTGAAGAAGCTCTGAAAAAGTCGTGTACTAGTTCTCAAATGATCCCGAAATGTTCCTGAAATAGTCATAAGTATTGCTAAATGGTCCTGAAAAATCTGGAACCAGTACCGGAATGATCCGGAACTAGTCCCAAAATCAACCTCTACTATGTAGTCCTAATCTAGCTCCAAGGATCCAGGACTAAATAGGGGTGAGCTGGCACCGAAATGGTCCCTAAATAGTCCTTAGCAGGTTCCCGAAATGATGCCGAAACGCTCCCGAAATGGTCTTGAAATAGCCCTGAACTAGGCCAGAAATACACAAGATGAACCAATTGCAGATTTTCTGCTGGGTTAACGCAAATTTTAGCCACATCGAGAGCTAATATGTTTACACATTAAAAATATATATATTCGGGAGCACTCTGATCCCTGAAACTGACGCTGTTAGACTGGGCCTGCTATGGAACACTTCCTTTTGTTTTGACATACTGAAGAAGTCAGCCAGGAAAATGTGGATTTTATACACCGCCAAATGATCTTCAGTGATATGAAGACCATTTCTAGGTATTAGGCAGTCGGAAACTTCTTTGTTTCGGCAAAGAAATTTACTTAAGCCAAGAACACCAGATTGGCTAGTTGTCTTAATGAAAAGTACAGTTAAAATAGTCCTTACGATTACACGTTGAAAGTAATCGTCCCTTAGATCACACTGATATGGCTCTTGTTTTTCATGCTTCGTCATGGAAGGGATATGCCAAGAGCGGATTTGTGCGAAAAATCTTTTGTACAGATCTTCTGATGAGTCAAGAATGACTCGTCCGTAAATCTTTCGCACGACAGTCGGCTCTATGTAACGACCCAGATTTACGTACATCTGGCCAAACACTGTCACTGTGGTGGTCTATGAGCAGAGAGGGAAAATAACTGCCGACACAAATTCTAGCCTCACCCCCTTCGTCTACTTATATAAAAAAAAGGATAACTATTGATTTCGTGCGGCAAAGGCTATGTATATCAAGCCTTTAATTCCTATATTGGACGCCGTTATCGTACAATGGTTAGGGTAGGAAACTTCACCCTGCTATTTGAAAAAGTTTTGACAGCCAAAAATTCAACAAATCTAAATGAAGTCCCTCTTTACACTCCTCAAAACAGATGCTTTCAATTTAGCAATGCAACCATGGAAACTTATTAACATATATGTATGTATGTGTATAAAACTCGCACCTGTCTGCAAACGACTCTTGAGTACATCAGGCGGCATACCAACTATCCAATATGTTATGCCAGCCATGCCACCAGCAAATATGGCTGTCAACACTTCCATGTGCAAATCTGGTAATTTTTGCTTGATTAAATCTTGTAATGCTTCATAGGTTGCAAAATATACAGCATTTGCTGGCACATCTGTAAGAATTTGAAGTTTCAATTAAAATCTTACAATTAAAATATTGAACTACATAGTCTCGAGTCGAGTGGATAAATAAAGTGAACCCAAGCGTAGTTTTTTACAAAGTATTTGTATATTTTCTTCCCATCTTTTTAATTTTCTAGGCATAAAAAAGTTTATTCTTCTACTAGTGCTACTATAATAACAATGTGAACATAATAATCGCTTATAATTAAAATAATTTCTATTGTAAAAAAATAAACTATCGCGACTTCGTAAATATATAAGTGCACTGTTGGGATTTTGGTGTTCTTCAGAAAAAAATTCATTAGTCTTTTAGCGAAAGTTTTTTAGTTAAAATAATGCAGCGATCGCATCATAGGCATCATTGGCTAATTCGATGCCAAAGAAACAGGCAGCATTTGCTGGGAAGGCACGCAACATAATCGGTGTAACACCACGATACAGCGCCAAAGGACCATCCGTACGCATAAGATCCTTGAAAACGCTACGCACACCTTTTGGATATGTGCCGGCAGGTGCTGGAAGAGAGGAGAAAAATTAAGTGGTAATAGAAGCATAAATATTTTGAAGGTACCTACATATGTAACTATATATTAATTAGTTTTCGGATTTGTATAAACAATAAAAACATAAATGAATAAAATAGTACAAAATATAATAAAATAAATTTAAATATAAAATAATTAAATTAAATAAAACATATAAATTAAAACAAAATAAAATGAAATAATTTAAACAAAAAATAACAAAAATTAAATTAAATAAATTAAATATAAAATGAGGTAAAACGACTATAATTGAATATTAAAAAAAAAATAAAAAATTTAAAAAAAGTTACAAAATCAGATAAAATGAATACAAATAAAATAAATTAAAAATTTTTGTAAATAAAAAATAAAATAAATACAAACCACAATATATTCAATAGTAGATTAAAAAGTACATACTAAATAAAAAAGATAAAATGAATGAAAATTAAACAAAAAAATAAAACTAGAAAAAANTAAAAAAAAAATAAAAAATTTAAAAAAAGTTACAAAATCAGATAAAATGAATACAAATAAAATAAATTAAAAATTTTTGTAAATAAAAAATAAAATAAATACAAACCACAATATATTCAATAGTAGATTAAAAAGTACATACTAAATAAAAAAGATAAAATGAATGAAAATTAAACAAAAAAATAAAACTAGAAAAAAATAATATGAAGTAAAATAAACAAAAATTGAAAAAAATATCAAAGATAAGATAAAATGATTAGAATAAAATAAAATAAACGAAAAACAATATAAATGAAAATATGAAAAAATTATATAAAGCTAAATAAAACTAAATGTATGTAAATTAAATATAAAATAAAATAATGTAAAAAAAA